TGGCGTTGAATCTGCGAATAAACTGCGCCGAGTTGATTCCCATCAGCCTGGGTAGTGGTACAGTCATTTCGGGGAGTGGCGTGAAGATTTGAGCAACAACGCTTTCATCGAGGGTACGATGATCTTCTGCAGAAAGCCCCTCTGAGATGTCTGCCTTCTGGGCTTTGAGAAAATGGATTGCGGGTTGCAAAGTCATTGGATGATTGATGTACCAAATTGATATGAAGCTGATAACCGAATGCTCGATATTAACAAGTCTTCCAGTTTTACCCGATCTAACGTAGTGATCCTTGCAGCTGCTGTATGATTCTTTGCAGGCGAGAAGAAATTGCGGCACAGGCGCAACATCTATTTCGGGGACTGTTGGATAGCCAGAGTGTGCGTCAACTCTGTATACGCCGGCATGGTTGAGGGAAGCCAACTCCCAGACCATGTTTCGAAGCTCAAGTGGTATTTTGGGGAAAGGGTGGAAGGTGGTGGGCCCTGAGAAGGTCAGTGACTGGTGAGACATTGTAGGATAGGCAAGCCCTACCTTGGGATATATTGTTGCCAGTATTAGCCTTGGATGAAGGGCCGTTTATATCCTTAGAGTTTGAGGTCTCAACGTGGGTGTCTATGTTGTGGTCAGTGACAAGTTCTATCGTTGAACTTCGGAGAACGTACCCTTAAAATGGGTGGCATCATTGCTCAGGCCAGGGTGGGAGGTTGTGCTGACGATGCTGCTCTTGTGCTGGGAGACTTCGCTGGATTCATGCTGGGATGATGCGCCGACAGTCTTAGTCTTCTGTTGCGAGGTCTCACCTGAGACAGCTTGCGCCGATTCGCTGATGATGTTGAGGTTGTATCTCTGCGAAGTGGTATCGTCATCTCCTTTTCCGTGACTTTCCATGGTGCCATTGAAACCTATTCTCATTGTCAGTATTCTGGTCCATTTGAGCAGAGCGGATTGGAGCTAGGACTTACTCGCGCATGTACTGTCTTGATGATCATCTACCATACCCCCCAAGCAAGCAGTTGAATTGTTCAACGCAAGTGGATCGGTGCTGGGAGATGCCATTGCGGTCTGGGTGTCTTTGTGGGGTTAGCATAAGGGATGGATGTATCTGGAAGAGCTACATGCCTTGATGCTTGCCTTTGTCTGGTACGGAGGACCATTCAAGAGCCTTAGGATAGGTCGTGTGAGTAAGAACGTCAGGATCGGGTTCGTGAGTGCGAGCGTTGAGGTTGGGGGTAGTGTGAGAGCGACTCTCCATCTTGATATACTACGCAAAATAGTGTCAGCTATTCCTGCAGGCTCTTGGTTTAAGGAAGGGGTTGGACTTAGTGAGAAGTGTACCTTGATGCTGCAGTCAGGAGTGGGTTCGAAGTTCATTTGTTGAGAAGCTGGGAAATCTCAAAATTCAAATATTCAGACTGTGGCGATTTAGGTCTGTGTACTGGAATACAGGAAGCGGCTGCTTACCTACTCAATGAAGGAGGATGTGAATTAGAGTGAGTTGGGATATATATAACCACGTGACGATTATCTCACATGACTGTGTCTCATCCATCTTTGTCGGTCTAGTATGGAGACCTTGACTATATACTGTCCTTTAGAGAGACTTTCATGGCCTCCCATTATTTTTTCCCAATTACTTACTGGTTTCCTAGAGCGTTTGTGAACTCAAACTGGTCGAGAAGCTATTGTGGAGCCCTCGCTTGAAGCGAGCTTCAACCACAGCCTTCAATATTTCAACACCAGCACCAAAGACTTCACAGCTCTCTCTACATTCCTCCCGAGAACTCAACTCAGGAATAGAACATCACATTTGATGAATCAATAATTTCCAAGATGGCAGACCCGTCGGAATCCACAGAGATGCAGCTCTCAAACCACACCTCCTCTACGCAGCACCCCGCGACGCAATCAACTGTCGAGAACACTCCAAGAGAAGCCGTTGATCTCAGTCTTGAAGACCGCATGCAAGACGCTCAAGTTGTGCGAACGCCGCAGTCAACCTTTGAGTACACTGTATTGGAGCCCGTCCATGCCAATGCAGAACCAACCTCTCAACCCCCAGCTACCGGAACGCAGTCAACCATTGAGTACACTCCAAGAGAGCTCGTCCATGCCAATGCAGAATCACTTTCCCAGCCCCTAGCTACCGGAACGGAATCAACCATTGAGAATACTCCACCAGAGCTATCTCAATTCAATCCAGAGCAGCCTACACCAGGTGTTTACGCTCCAGTATCCCAGCTTACTGATGAACGAGAACCAACCCCTTCTTTGTCAGGATCTGCTATCCCAGATGCATGCGCACAGGCAACGCAGTCAACAGCGGAACTTGCACCTGTGTATTCCCACTCAGCAAACCACGCTCGAGAACTTGAAGGCTCAGAAACGCAGTCTGCTACCCAAGAGAGTAACGCGCCTCAAGATCTCGTGATGGACAGGCAGGAAGATGAGCTAGAACTGCCCACGCTCAATCCAGAGACAGGATTCGGAGTCGGTATCACGAGTGGAAGGACGGAGATTCCTGACAGTGAAGAGGTCTCAGATTGGACTCCTGTTAAGACAAGTCAAGTTGCAAGATCTGAAGATCCACAATCTACCCCTCTCAGATCTAGTGTTGACGTGCCGGGAATGATGGCCGAAGATGCGGATGAAAATGCACCTTTCTCTTCCAATGAGACGTTCGTTATGATTAATCACGCCGACGCATATTCTCAGACTGCCAGTCAGATATCTTCCGGAGGTCGGAATGTAGCCACGGGAGAGGAGGCCACAACCGAATCGACATTTCCTCAGATAGTCATCAGAAGCAGTCAAGGTGGGATCGATGATCTGGAGGGTTCCATTGATAGGGCCACGACTGTTTTGAGGAGTTCTGACGTTGCGTTTGGAGGTATGGGAATGGCTTTTCAACGCACGACTTATGGACAGAGCAGTTCTCGTGCTGTTCTCAGTTCGAAGGAGGAAGTTCCAGATAGCGACGATGATGAAGAGAGCTTTGAAAGTTCTGTTGATAGTCATCGAAACGATATCCTTCCCGGGCTTCCCAACTTGCAGGCACGTCGTACTGCTGTAGGATATGGAGCTCAATCCACGACCTCGGGTTTTCTGCAAGCTGAGAAAGTAGACGCTGTCATGACTGAGGGCTCAGATGATATTAGTCAACCAGACCAAGGAGGGCAGGGACGACCTACTGCTTCGATCAGAATGCAACAGCAGTGGCCGACCAACAGACGAGAGGCTGATCACACTGCTGGGACTGGAGCAAACTTCATTGATGATGACGAGACGGCTTCACATCACTCCGATTCCCTTCGAACCCCGGAAACACAATTACCTGGAAGCCAGCAAGTTCCCAAGAGGTATGTCTTTGACAAATCAAAAACAGAAGTCAAAGACTCTCAGTCTGTTAGCAGCACTGACGAAGAGTTCTCAAACAGTGCTATCGAGTCCGAAGACATGCCTGATACCCAACCATTCCGATCTGGTGTGCAGCTACCATCAGTAGGAGGCACAGATGCTCATTATTTGCCGGATACTCCAGAAGCACCGCAAATGACGAAGAGGTATGTCACTGCGGGAAGGACAGAAATCAAGGATTCTCAGTCTTCCAGTTTCACTAACTCCAAGTCACAACACAGTGTCGAGGACTCTTCACAACGCGTGCCAGATACCGATCCGATGCGACCCAGTATTCCGCTGGCCCCGGTAACACGCGTGTCGAAGAGACCTGCACCCGATGAGGAGAGTAAAGCTGGCGAGAGGTATGATTTGAGAAGCGCTAAAGAGAGAAAGTTCTCTTAGTCGTCCTGTGTCACTGACAAATATTCTTTTATATAGTAGCATTAAGTCATCTGCTGGTACGCTTTCGGCGAAGGAGGATTCCGGAATCAACCAACCCATCGCACCTTTGGACGAGGAAGTTCTTTCAGATGCCCCTCCTTCTTCAAACAGTATCCAGGAGCCCAGTATCGTGGCCGATATTCCTCCATCTCCTTCTCCGCCCACAGTTTCAGGAGCTCAATCTTCCCCATTTCGTTCATCTCTATTAAAGCCTATAGATCCTAGCTCCTCTAGAGGGAAGAAAGAGACACCAAACGCATACCAGAACAAGGATATCCTGATGGCAGAGTTGAAAGCCATGAAGATTGTGAGTCAACCAACACACCAAGGACAGAATTTGACTTTTAGCTAACACATCTCGCAATATAGTCATCCGTTCAAGCTCGGGTCGCAGCCCTAGAAGCAGAACTTTCTAGCAAGCGGACAAAGCTGGAAGCTGTGGCAAAGGAGTTAGTGTATGCGCCTTCCCGTTTTCCCGTCAACCTGGCATATCTGAAAAGCATAATACTAATCTCAATTAAAACACAGTGCACCAGCTGCAGGAACCGTTCAGAAACACATCAAACTGCTCCACGATTACAACGACATTCGGGATGTTGGACAAGGACTTGTGGGTATGATCGCAGACAACAGGGGCGTGAGAATTGGGGAGCTTTATGACGAGTTTGGAGTTGGTCTCAAGGACTGATTTCTCATTTTCCTATTTTCCTATTTCTCTTTACACGACTGAAGATGCTTTGATACTGCAATGGGGAGGATCAGTCATCAAATTATGGAGGCTCCTGCCTCTATATAAGTCCTTCCAGTTGGAGGCATTCAGCAGATAAGAAGAATACAACCTTTCCTTCGAACAGTCTTACTTGACCACTCCCAATACGATAATGTCTACGTGAACCCTACGATACACCGCTAACTCTTGGGGATGCGGTATACTCCTTGAGCACCTTTTCAATACCTGTTTGCTTTCTTGACATAGGCACAATACGGGCGTTGAGCAGAATTTGCTTGGAAAAACGTTGATTGAGCATACATGGTATCGAGAAATAAACGCAATTGTTCATGACTACACGTACGCATCCGCTGCATTCTTTCAGCATGAAAACCCAAACCTATTCCCATCCGCATAATTCGACGCCGAACTCCCCAATTCGCTTCAGATCTCTCACTTCTTCTCATTCTCCTTCTCATCAAGACAAACACAAATGGCAGCCATGAGCGCCAGATCGACATTCGGCGCAACAGTAACATAATAACTCTGCTGCCCGCCGAAAATCTCCCGCATGTTGAAGTAGCTCCGCGAGATTTGCGCTACGACTACATTCCCCATGGTGATTGTAGCGCTGCGATCAAGCCAGTCGCCTTTGACGAGGAGTTCTATAGGTGCACCATTTGAAGCGTTTTGGAAAGTTGCTATCATTTTCGACGTGCCGACTATTTGTTTTCATTCACCATTAGTATCCCTTTCTATCTTTCTATCTCTCCCTATACACAAGGATGAAAGGGTGAATGAAAGCAACTCCACTCACTGCTAAACTTCCCCTTAACCTCAAACAACACCTGTCCCCCAGGCGCCTCAGCATAAAAGGACTTATGTATACTCAACAATTTCGTACGTAGCGAGAAGAGCGGGCGGCCGGCTATATCGGCGAATTCTTTACGGTCGGACAGCGAGAAGGTCTGGCCGCGGCATTGCACGACTTCGTGGCCGGCCTCGTCGGTTATGTGGAAGGTGTCGCCGGAGAGGGACCATACTTTTTCTTTCATGGCGAGGATGGTTTGCCGGGGGACGCAGTAGGCGGGGTTGATGCCTAGAGGGGGGTTGAAGGGGGCGAGTTGCATAGGGGGCATGGTTGCGGTTTGGTTTGGCTTGATTGTTCGTTGGTGGTTGATAATAGGAGATGTGTAGATGTGTAGATGTGTAGGGTTACTGGATAGGAGAGGAAGGAGAGTAAGACGGAGGAGCGGATGAAGTTATATATATGTTCCTATCTACCTACTCTACTTGTATTAATTCCAGCTTATTATTCTCGTTATCGCAGCAAACCCGCCCCACAAAGACAGTGCTGGCTCCTCCAGTCCAAGGCGCAGCGCTAGCTACCTTTGTAGGGGTTCTTAACATGTCAGCCTCAGCTCAGCCTTGTGGTTAAGTCTGAAACAGAAATCTTGATTGGATCATTCTGTCACTTGATGTCCCACAAGGCGCAGCGCGACGCCAGTTTGCTCGTAGTTCCGAAGTTTATGTTGGGGTTGACAATTTGCGGCCACGCTATGTGTTCTTGGCGGCTGATCCACGAATCCTATCATCTGGATCGGGTAATGATTCTGCGAGCTATTTTGGGGGCTGAATGGGCTTATCATGTGAAGCTTCCTTGTTTAATCGACGACGATAGCGACGATTTTCGGGGCTCATATTTGGCAATGCCAAAGGTTGGATGAGATCGGCTTTATTCGTCTGTCATTTCATGATCGTGCCCATTGCCTGCACCACTCGAAGGAGTGCCGGAAACATGCCTTTCTGGCCAAAGAAATGCTTCCGCAGCACTCAGTATACCTTCCTGATGTTCTAGCTTTCGACTTATCAAGATCTTCGTAGCTTTACTTGCAAAGAAAGTCTTGTTTCTGCCGTCTGCAACCCGACCGCAAACAAACATCTCCCACAAAAACAGGTCATTGAACGTTGCCAGGAGCACATTGAGTTCCATTCGTGACTCCAATGTGCTTTTAATTCTCCCAGCGAGCATAGTGTTGATCGCCAGTTCTTTTGGAAGTTCTCTCAAGATGGTGTATATATAAATCAGACAAGTCCATCCAAAGGTCCGGAATATCGCATGCTGTTCATTGTGTGCGTCTTCCACATACCAGAGTTGATGAACTAGCCTCTCGAGAACCTCTACTCGATCCGTAAACTGGACGTCAGTGGAAAGCTCGGTATCTGGAGAGCCAGTGCCTTCATGGAAATCGTCCCTCAGTTTTGTTATGTTTCGAAGGCCCCATAATGCCGTCGCTGCTATGTTCGACAAATGAGAATTTGTGAAATTATATAATCGTGTGCGAAATGTTTGTGCGTAGGAAATAGTATTAGCACTTGGTTGCCCGAAGTAAGTCTCGAAGTCAGAAATATTTATGGAAGGTTCCAGTATTGGTTTTGCGGAAAGAGTAATGGCGCCTGCTAGGTCCGTACTTGAACGTATTAATCCTGCGATGATACTTCTTCTGGCAAGAATAACTCACAAATACATATGTCGTAGCGTTTTCAGATCGGATTTAAGACCCTCTATTCCACCCGAAGCTCTGATAAGCTGCAAAAGCCCCGTCATATGGGTTTTGGCCGTCCTGGGTCTATTTCCAAATGCCTGTGCACACCCTATCAGCTTTGCCTTCTTCTCGGAGCGGGTTTATGCACCTCTTGCTGAGCAAAGACACACACGGTATTGATAGTTCCCAGATCATGATCTCCCCTCGCCAGTCGTTCATTCAGAAGCCGAATAGCAACCCCTCTGTGATAGAAGTAATCTTGGGGCACTTCGTGATGCTGCAGGTATGAGGCGTGGGAAGAGGTAGAGGCCATGAGCGAATGGAAGAAGGCATCGTCTCGAACAGCCAAAGGGTACCATTCGAATCGAGGACCAACGCAAGTCAGGGTACGTGCACAGACTACCGTGACGTCTGACGCTGTCAGCACTCTGCTTCAAGACCACCGAAAGCGCGGGGGGCATACAGTGGTATATAAGGAACCGCAGATATGAATCTTCCAGTTCAGACCGAGGAGAGTAGGGTGCAACGGCTCTGGCAACTAGCTGTTGTGGCATGTTGGCTATTGGTTCCTCGTCATCTTTGGAGCCAGCCTTGGGCTTCCGACGTGGTTTGCGCCGCCCGAGTGCGACTGGGACAGAGGCCTTAAACTGTCGCTGACTCTCCACGTCTGCTTTGCTAGACATCGTAGGTAACCACACAGCCACAGCTCTTAATTTCAACGCAGAAGAGTGGCGAATACATGATCTTCTTGTCGCGACGATGCGACTGCTGGTGTCGGCGTTTATAGTTGCATGCATGGCACGGGAAACGCATGTTACACCAGATTCAGCGGCTAATCACTCTTCTCGTACAGCCAAGGCATTTTGTGTCACTACATATATGAACCACTCAGTACATAACATAAGACAGGACGACTTCACTTGAAGGTAATTTTGCAAAGAAATAATAATCCCCACCTAAGATTCTTAGACATGGACATGCCAGAAACATAGGAGGCGAAGTAGTTCCGAAAGCTTGGGCATTATTTTACCTTTTATAGCACGTGATTGCGCTAGGGCTTCATCGGGTTATTGATATGCCGACCTCAGACTTCCCCTCGATGTTCTCTCTCTCGTCCCAAAGTAAACAAGTTCTCCTCACTACACTTAGCCGCGGTGTGCAGCAATTCTTCCGGCATGCGTTTTTCTTTAAGCGCTAGCCGTTAATACGGAGCCATTGGCTCTTCTGATTGCTGGAAACACGATTGCAAGGCCGTCTAATCTGCGGGGTGAAGATTAGATCATTGCATATGCAACTGACGATTTCTGTTGCTATATGATTCAATTGCTACTGTATAACTAGCGTATATATGTATTTCTATGTCTTGCTAAGTGGCTGGCGTTTTCCACAATACTCTCATTTGAATCATGTGGTTCCCCAGGGTTTTGGCTGCGTTGACAGCGCTGCTGTTGACCTGCAATGCTACCAATGACGGGCTTACGGAAGCAGTGTCATGGGATTCTTATAGTTTGGTCATTAATGGCAATAGGACGTTCATTTTGTAGGTCTCAGTAGGTGTTTGAAGCTCTCAACTGACAGCCCTAGTGCTGCGGAGTTTCACTACCAAAGGGTCAGCCAGTTCCGTATCATTGCCCTAAAACGAGACTTTGGAAGCATGTTTCACGGGCTCCTGGTACAAATCTCATCAATAACTACCATATACTAATTGGTTGCGCAGATGCCGGTTCCTGAAATGTGGCTGGTAAGTCTGGTCATTGAAGATATTGCAGAAGCTAATTACACAGGACATTTTCCATAAATTCAAAGCCAATGGATTTAATGCCATCAGGTAGTCCATCCCGCGAGATCCATGAAGCTAGTCTAACAATGCCAGTGTTTACTACTTCTGGTCCTACCATTCCCCTTCCAAAGGCGTTTACGACTTCGAGACTTCGGGAAAGAATCTCCAACGATTATTTGACTATGCAAAGGAAGCAGGCTTGTGGGTGATTGTTCGAGCTGGCCCATACTGTAATGCCGAGACAAATGGTGGAGGACTGGCCCTGTGGGGCTCAGATGGAAGCTTGGGTAGTTTGCGGACAGGTGATGAGACTTACCATCAAGCGTGGCAGCCATGGGTAGCCAAAATTGGAGAGATAGTTGCAAACAATGAGATTACGAGAGGAGGGGTAATGCGACCTTTTCGAGAAATGAGAAATTACTGACTCGCTTGCAGACCGTCATCTTGAACCAGGTCGAAAACGAACTTCAAGAAACTACCCATTCCGCAAATAATACCCTAGTTGTCTACATGGAGCAATTGGAGACCGCGTTCCGAGCAGTAGGTGTTACTGTTCCACTTACACATAATGAAAAGGGGCAAAGGAGTATGTCTTGGAGCACTGATTACCAAGATGTGGGAGGATCTGTCAATGTCTATGGCTTGGATAGCTACCCAGGTGGATTATCCTGCACAAATCCTGATAGCGGGTTTAATGTCGTTCGAAACTACTACCAATGGTTCTCAAACTATTCTTACACTCAACCCGAATACTTCCCGGAATTTGAAGGAGGGTATTTCACGCCTTGGGGTGGCAGCTTCTATGATGATTGTGCTGCTGAGCATGATCCTGCATTTGCGGATGTTTATTACAAAAATAATATCGGGCAGAGAACAACTCTTATGAGTCTATATATGACGTGGGGAGGAACGAATTGGGGACATTGTGAGAAACTCTCCTCTGATCTGCTGCTGTTCTAACTCAAGCTTAGCTGCGGCTCCGGTGGTATATACCTCCTATGATTACTCAGCCCCACTTCGAGAAACGAGGCAAATACAGGATAAGATGTATCAGGCGAAGCTGATTGCATTGTTCACAAGGGTTTCGACTGATCTTTTGAAGACCGAAATGATTGGGAATGGGACTGGTTATGCTGTAAGCTTGCATCCCAAAGATATTTAAATCGAGACTCACACCTTTGAGACTTCATCCACGGACATCTGGACTTGGGAGATTCGAAATCCCGATACGAATGCCGGATTTTATACGGTGCAGCAAGCCAATTCGAGCTCTAGAGCTTCTGTGACCTTTTCAGCAAACCTCAATACGTCCCAGGGAGTCATCACGGTTCCAAATATCAATCTCAACGGCCGTCAAAGCAATATTCTTGTCACTGATTACAGTTTTGGACAAAACACCCTCCTGTATTCATCGGCTGATGTCCTTACGTATGGAGTTTTCGATACCGATGTTCTAGTACTGTACCTGGAAGAAGGACAGACTGGACAATTTGCGCTCAAAGGAACCTCTGCCAATAATACGCATACAGTTTTCGGGACGTCTGAAATCGTAACCACTACTGAGGCTAGTAGTACTACCATTGTCTACACACAAGGCTCTGGCAAAACCGTTCTGCAATCGAAGGGAGTCTTGATTTACCTGCTTGAACAGAAGGCAGCGTGGAAGTTCTGGGCACCTCCAAGGACTAATAGGCCCGATGTCAAACCTGGGGAGCAGATTTTTGTGTTCGGCCCTTACTTGGTTCGAAATGCGTATGTCTCTCACGGTGTTGTGCATGTTTCGGGAGACAACGACAATGCTACAACCATCGAGGTTTATACTGGAAACCCTTATATCCAAACAATCGATTGGAATGGGATTCGGCTCGATGCTACTAAGACACTATACGGCTCAGTCACAGCTCAAATCCCTGGTGCCGAGGACCGAACAATCTCCTTACCAGCACTAGAAAATTGGCGAGATGCAGATTCCCTGCCAGAGAAGCTCAATGCGTACGATGATTCGAAATGGACGGTCTGTGACAAAAACTCTACATTGAGCCCTGTTGCCCCTTTGACCAAGCCCGTGTTGTTTTCCAGCGACTATGGGTATTACACGGGCGCGAAGGTTTATCGTGGTTACTTTGATGGGAATTTTACGTCTGTGAACATCACTTGCTCTGCTGGTCTTGCGTTCGGCTGGTCAGCTTGGCTCAATGGTATTCTCATCGGGGGGAACGTAGGCAATGCCTCCCTCGCAACCACGACAGCCGTCTTAGCGCTTCCACTCTCGTCTCTGCAGCCAAAAGACAACCTCATAACAGTCGTAGTCGACTACCACGGCCACGACGAAACCTCCACCGCAAAAGGGGTTCAGAACCCGCGCGGGATACTGGGTGCCTTTCTGATCTCAAACAACACTACAAATACAAGCACAACCACCGGTTTCAAACTCTGGAAAATCCAAGGCAACGCCGGCGGATCCGCAAACCTCGACCCCGTCCGCGGCCCCATGAACGAAGGTGGTCTCTACGGCGAACGCACCGGCTGGCACCTCCCAAATTTCAAGCCCACCTCCCCCAAATTCAGCCGCTCCTCTCCTCTCACCGGCCTCAATTCCTCCGGAATACACTTCTACACCACGACCTTCCACCTGAACATCGACTCCGACCTAGACGTACCCCTAGGCCTCGAACTCTCCGCTCCCGCGGGCACAGTAGCTAGAATCATGATCTGGGTTAACGGGTACCAGTACGGGAAATACGTGCCGCATATCGGGCCGCAGACTCGCTTTCCTGTGCCGCCTGGGGTGGTGAATAACAGGGGGATGAATACGGTGGCGTTGAGTCTGTGGGCTATGAGTGATGAAGGCGCATATTTGGATACGGTGCGGTTGATTGAGTATGGACGGTATCAGACGGGGTTTGGGTTTGATTCTGATTGGGGGTATTTGCAGCCAGGGTGGGATGTGGGAAGGTTGGAGTATGCGTGAGTGAGTGAGTAGGTCTGACGCGGGAGTGGGAACGCAACTTGCAAGTGCCTGTTTCAAGCATGGCGAGTGCCGTACAGCCCTGTCTTCACTAACCCCCGCTCAGGGAATAAATCACCTATACACTTTTTAATAGAGCGCTACAAATATATATCTTCTGTAGAATCATTAGTATCTCCCGACTCCCGGAATTCATATAGTAAGATACCATACCAGGTATCAGCACACTTGTGGTGTTGATAGTCGGGTAGACCTGTCATTTTGGGACTAGCTTGTCCCATTGATCCTTGCTTAGAATGACGCATGGCGCTTTCAAAAATCACTGGCTGGCTGGCCACCGTTTGCCGCCGCTTGCCCCTCACTATAAAGTCCATAGAAGGTTTTGTGTCCTGCTCTCCAGCATCCACATTTTATTCTTCACAAAGTTCCCGACCGTCAATCGAGAATAGCTTCATTTTGCAGCTACTCTCAACTTCTTACAATTGCAATTGAAGCTGAAGGTTAGTTTGAACCGACCATTTATCACTCCTATCGATAAGATACGAGTTGTGCCTACGTAAAACGGATAAGCCCGCTGACCCCACTTTTTGCAGATTCATAAACAACAAACCTTCTCCTCCACTTCTCCATTTTGGCAGCCATTCGCCTCATCTCCTCTCCTCTCCCCTCCTCCCTACCCGTCACAATGTCTTCTCTTCGAGCAGCAGCGCGATTGCGTCCCGTTGCCTCTCGATGGGCCCCCAAATCTTCTCTACGACCTTACGCTACCGCGGCAGCCCTCAAACCATCTGCCCCCTCCGCAGAACAGCCATTCTTCACGAATGAGCCTTCTGGACCTATCGTCAAGACGGCCATACCAGGCCCGGAGAGCAAGAAGGCAATTGAAGAATTGGACAGGGTGTTTGACACCCGGAGCTTGAACATGCTTGCCAATTACCAAAAGAGCTTTGGAAACTACATTGCGGACCCAGATGGAAATGTGCTCTTGGATGTGTATGTTTGACTGACCCTCCTCAAGCAAGGTCGAAGAATGCTAATTGAGTAGCTATGCACAAATCGCCTCCATCCCAGTCGGATACAGCAACCCCGCTCTTAACGCAGCAGCAACTTCCCCACAGATGGCGTCTGCCATCATCAACCGTCCAGCCCTCGGAAACTTCCCCTCACACGACTGGGCCTCGATCCTCAAAACCGGCATCCTAAGCGTAGCCCCAAAGGGCCTCGACCAGGTCTTCACCGCCATGGCTGGTAGCGACGCCAACGAAACAGCCTACAAAGCAGCCTTCATGTGGCGCCGCCAGCAAGAGCGCGGTGGCTCGCACATCGAGTTCAGCGAAGAGGACATTGCCTCCAGCATGCTGAACCAATCTCCTGGTGCACCACAACTCTCGATCCTATCTTTCAAATCCGGTTTCCACGGCCGCCTTTTCGGCTCCCTGTCAACGACACGCTCGAAATATATCCATAAAATCGATATCCCTGCTTTCGACTGGCCACAAGCTACATTCCCCCTCTTGAAATACCCCCTCGAGGACCATATCCAAGAAAATGCCAAAGCGGAAGCAGATGCTTTGGCAGAGGTTGAAAAGATTATCACAACGCACCACCTCCCACCCTGCGCCGTGGTCGTCGAGCCTATCCAATCCGAAGGTGGCGACAACCACGCCTCACCTGCATTTTTCCGCGGCCTGCGCGCTCTCACCAAGAAACACAACGTCCTGCTCATCGTCGACGAAGTGCAGACGGGCGTCGGCGCCACGGGGAAGTTCTGGGCTCATGATCACTGGAACCTAGATACACCACCAGACATGGTGACCTTCAGTAAGAAAGCGCAGACGGCAGGATATTATTTCGGAAACCCAGAACTCAGACCCAACAAGCCTTACCGGCAATTCAACACCTGGATGGGCGACCCAGCACGCGCCATCCTATTCCGTGCCATCATCGAGGAGATCGAGCGATTGGATCTAGTCACCAACACGGCCAAGGTGGGAGAGTATCTGTATAACGGTATCGAGGAGTTGGGCAAGCTGTACCCGGGCCAGGTGCTCAACCTGAGGGGTAAGGGACAGGGGACTTTTATCGCATTCGATAGTCCCAGACGGGACGAGGTCCTCAAGAAGGCCAAGAGCGTCGGTGTAAATATTGGCGGGTCTGGCGAGAGGGCTGTGCGCTTGAGGCCCATGTTGATTTTCCAGAAGCATCACGCTGATATCCTGTTCGAGGCGTTGGAGAAGATCTTTAAATCGTGAGGACAATCGCGGGTTATGAAAATGAAATGAATTGAATATAAACAAAAAGGGAAATGCGTATGTATGGTGATTTGGGTTAGTTAGGTGCGGTGCTAGGAGGTTAATTTGAGATACAAGCAAAAGCAAAGCGATCGTGGAATCAAACTACAGTTTTCAAAATTTATGCTTTTTTAGTTCAGTTCAATCTACCACCAGTGTACCCATACCGTTTGAAACAAAGTCTGCATACAACCCCACCGGTTGTCCAGAACAAGGATGCTAAATGCCAATTATCCATATATACATACTTAATCATCCAAGACGCTTCTTCTTTTCTTACACATATCATATCATCATATCATCATCTCCATTCTCTTTAAAGGCACACACATACATACATATTATACTATACCATACTATACTATACTACACATCAAGCAAGCAAGCATAACGTCTCACATAATGACATTCATCTACATCTTTCCCACCCTATCTTCCACCTTACCTTACCTTTCCTTTACATCTTCTTTCCACCTCTCCACTTTTTCATCCCATCCCATCCCATCCCATCTATTCCCAACCTTCAGACCAACCATCCATACCAGTTAGTAAATGCAACTTCAAGTTCAAGTCCAAAAGCAAGAACAAGAACAAAAGCTCGCTGGTTCTATTCCATTCCCACTCCACTAAATCCAGGTCTATGCATGCATGTACGAATGCAATTGATAACGTAAAAGCAAAGGCAAAGCAAAGCAAGCATACGTAGATAAAACGCCCCATGATAGTTAAGTGTATGATACAAAATTACAATTCCTTTTCTTTTGTCTGTATTTGCAACCCACTCTCTTCTCGTTCTTAGAGAGGGATATTTTAATTTTGAGCCCCGGTGGGATCAAAGCAAGTGTCATTGCACCGACTCTTGTTCCCGTTCCTGTTCCTGTTGCCGCACGGCTAGATCCGTAACCTTTTCTGTGCCTGCCATTTCAACGTCCTTGATCCCATTGCCATTGACTTCCCCCAGTGCCCCAGCCCCAGCCCCATCCATATTCATCAGAACCGCATCTTCGTTCTCGCGCATTGGATCTGCTTCCTGCTGGCGGAGATCACGCTCTTCTTCTAACCCGACATGTATGGGCTGATCTTGCGGTGGTGGAGGCCCATAAATAATGCTTATGGGATCGCCTTCGAGAAGTTCACCCTCTGCGCCTTCGAATGTGCCGGGCAAACCACCAGCAGGCGGAGGTGGCGGCGGAGGAGGCGGAGGAGCATCAGCGTCGTCGTTGGGGCTTTCTTTGAGCCGCTTCGATTCGCTATCCTCAGTCTCATCTGGTAACACCTCCTCATCATCCTCGTCTCTTTTCCGTTTCAGATCTGAAGACGAGCCTGTGACTGGCGTAGCAGGTGGTATTGAAGGCGAGTCTGGAATCGGTGTAGGAGTTCCATGATCCGAGAACTCGACTTCATCCTCCACCTCTGGCTCTGGTGAAGGAGCAGCTTCCGGCTTACCATTCGTAAAAGATGAAGAAGCATGCGAGGAAGAGCCGTTGGCGAGTTTTTCCCGCTTCTTCTTATCTATCGCCTTCCTCTTCTGAACAGCTTTCTCGAAGAAATCCCGAACGTATTTCTTGACCTTTTTCTCCTGCTTTTCCGAGATCTTGGTAGGATCATCGACACGGTTGTTCTTGAAGTCGGAAGCTACGAGTTTCTTGCCGATCTCTTTGGCGAACTTTTTGAGGTCGTCCTTGGGAAGCAGTTTCGAGAATTTTTGCATCACGTGCCTTATGTGAGGAAAGAGCTGGGCATGGTCAGTGAGGAGTGTGGAAGATATGGAAAACAGAAACTTACGGTATTCTCGTACAGCTTCATCTGTTTTTCCACGGGTAACGATCGCCATTTCTCGACTGGCTTCTTCTTCTCCTTGGGCGTGGATTCAACTGTCGGCATGCTCTGTGGTGTGCTACTGGAAGCTGGTTCTGAGATGATACCATTAATGATATCTTGCAACTTCTTTTGTTTCTGCACGCTTTCTTGAATTTTTGGGGGCGGTGGCGGTTGGGGAGCCGGCAAATTAGGTCGTTGCCAGGTCGTGTGACCGCTTTTGCTGTAGTAATACGGATTACCACTCGCGTCCATGGCGGCAAACCAGCCTGTAGGTAATGCACCGAAAGGCCTTCGGATTGGCGGCCGTTGCGGAATGAAAGTGCGCTGTGGGACATTACTTCGTGGTCCTGTTGGTAGAGTAATAGCTGGGGTGGCTGGCGATTTGGAAACTTCCTCGACTCTCTCATTGTTTCGACGCTCGAAGATTCTGGCGGTATTCGGGTCTACCTTCTTCTTGGTGATCCGATACTCTTCCTTGAGTTGACTCCATACTTCGATGAGCCTCTTAGCTTCGAACGCAACATCCTCGTGCTCGGAGGTCGTGAACGTCTGAACGGTACCCTCGATCTTAGCTTTAGTGATCTTGTTACGAGTGATCCGAGGGAACTTGTATAGAATATCGAGAATTTGAAGAACAACATTGTTGTCGTCCTTCCAAGTCGTTAAGCTCGTCCGCATAATATCGTAGCCGTGCGTCTGCACGACTTTATTGCGGATACTGTCATCTTCGCATCGTTGAATGCGACTCAACAACTTTACCACGATCCATTTCTCTTGACATGTGAGGAGAGTTGCCATGATATTTGTCACGCCCTCTTCATCCAAACCCCTGGGTTGGACGCTGCTGACATATTCTTCGTCGTTTTCACCCGTCTTCTTCTTCCGGGGTTTCTTAGCGACCGCCGTATCCCACCCATCGCCATCATCAATGCCCAGAGCTTCAATTGTTGTATGGTGCAATTTGGTCGCGCGCTCAGTCTGGGTCTTGCCTCCAATAAATCCAACGCAGTTTGGCTCGCCGCAATAGCAGACTTGGGGGTCGGCACCGTAACGGTCGACATTGTAGTTGAAAACCAACTCCTCGCCGGCTTTGATGTCCCGCTCGGCAAAAATGCCCATGCGCAATTTCTCCCCGACGACCCATTTGTCCACGTAACAGTTTGGATTACAGGAATGGTTGCAGAATCGCCCCAGATTGCCCTTTTTCGTCGCATCGACAAATTCGCGTATCGTGAGGGACATGAAATAGAAATGTTTGATACCTTCGTCATCATACTGGTATCTCCTTTTATTGAATACCGCCGAATTAATCACTTCGCCGATGTATTCGAAGATAAAATCATGAGCCTTCAGGTCAGTATTTGCTCGCAAACCATAGCCTTTTTGCTCTGTCTTAATGACGGAGACATTGGCATATTGTTTGCGTTGGAACCGCTGATTCTGGCAATCATTACCGCAATTGCAATTATTGTCGACGCATTCCATTTTAGTCGCACGGTTGATACAGTCCGAATCTTCTGCGCATGCATGATTTTTGCCATCGCCTGGAACAATCAGTAAATCACCAAGGTTGAAGAAATTAGAACAACTCACCGTACTCGGGAGAGCAATCGCAGTCCAAGGAATCATGCTCGGAGAGGCCCATATTTTTGGATCCATACTCGCAATCTTTAATAACTGAGAATTGCGAGGTTGCCTCTTCTGTAGCATCTGGCAGGTCATTGAATAATGGGGCTGGTCGTGAAATTATCTTCTGCGATGCTTTTCGTGACAATTTTGGAGGTTTCCCATCCTCTACCACAACTGTGATCTCACTCCCAATTATTTCTTGACCGTCCCCGGATTCGGGCGATTGTGATGCGCTTTGTTTCGTGACTGGTGATTGCGACCTTGAGTTTGCCATAGGAGGTGTGGAGGACCGAGATTTTCTGCTGTAGCCAGGTGTAGGAGCTTTCTCGTATGTCCCATTCGTAAATCCATTCCCCATGGGCGAACCCTCTTCTTCCAATTTCATGTCGCCGAGCGCAGTGTCCACTGCCTCTGGCTTTACGCCCCGGGAATTGTCTGCCATTTATATAGGAGTCGGAAGGGTTGGGGCGGGAATGTATGGGGTAAGGCGTTGAGGAAGGTTCGACTTGGAAAGCTGAGGTCGAGACTCAGCGGCGAACGTCGGGGGTGCACCAAGAGTGATACCGGGAAAACGATATCGATATTTGCGTGGAATGCTAAAGCAACCTCAATCTATAATGTCGGTCGACCGCTGGTCGTAGATTCCAAGGTCAAGGGAGTGTTTGCGCCTGGTAGGCGGGTTGCGAAAGCAGCGAGTTGGCGCCGAGAGATCGTACACTTTGAAGCTGGAGAGTGAGAGGTCGGCGCGGAGCAAAAGATGGGTGCGTATGTGGGAGTAGGAACTGTATTCTCGTAGATGAGAACATGGAGTCTGCTCTCATAGGAAATGACGGGGGTAGCTCGGTGGGTGATGGAGATGGTCGAGGACAAAAGATGATTGAATGGAGAGGGATGCCAACAACCACAAGCACTCTTTACCTGTGCAGCATGTCTAATCCAACCTCTGGATTCCCTGCTAGCATGTAACGCGCCTCTCATATATCACTCTGGTATTGCACAGCTCCTTTCCCAGCCAAAATATGTTGCATTGAATTCTATTTAGAAATGTAGATGGTACGCAGGGCCTCAAAGATGCCCAGCTGCGCTAAACCGTAAACGGCAACGCCGAATGGACTTAGCAATATATGATCCCATCAACAGAACAACCCTCTTGCTGGTGGATTTGAAGCAGTATTTGGATAATCTCCCATCCCATGAATCCCTGAAGCAATCGAATGGAATCTTGATTGTTCATGTCAAGCGACATCCCGTAAAAGCTACCGACAACCAACAAAGCCACAATTACGGACGGTTTGCCCATCCAATATTGAACCGTATGTAGCACAGGAAGAAAAGAGACAGTAATCTTACCTGCTCAGATCATTGCACCTTTTCCAACATTGCAATATAGATCTTGATGTTCCACGCGGCTTTACTTGGCCACGTCTAATCCCTCGTACTAGACCTCCTAGAGTATGCGCTTTGCTTGTGTGAGGTGACCTCTGCTGGATATGCCGCCTTGATACCATTTGGAACCTGACCAGACCTGTACACACACTAATGTAAACAGTCGGTCACCTATTGCTTCCGAGGAGGGAGAATACGAAGGCTGGAGGGGTCAGAAATAGATTCTAGACAATACCCCACAAGTATGGCTGGCAAATTGGATAAGAGGTAGTTTCCCCTTAAGGCAGCTCATAATCTATCAGCGACCGTCAGTGATGTAATTGGCACGAGTGAAGAAGAGCACAAGTTAGCACTTACAGCGGTGAAGCAACCTCTAAGGATGCGACAGCAGAATCATTGACAGCGCACAATGCAGATTTGGCGCGAGTCCTGCCCCACCGAAAGCATTCGTAGATATAAAATAGACTTGTTTCCCAGCGGATCAGACGTTGCGATGGTCGCGGCCATCGATTGAATCCTCCTGGGAAGCGCAAATGCACCAGTTGTTGCCATGTTTTGCTGCTTGCCAGACATCCAAGCCAAGTCCTTACAGTAGGCCGCAGATTCGGCCGCGCCATCCATAATTAAGACCTCGCCGCCCAACGAAGATTCTTATCTGCGACTCGTGCGCGACGGATGAATTGGAGGAGTACATCAAGTCTGATGTTTGAGCCATGATGCGATGCGGCTCAGCAGGAGTTGCGTTGCTCTGCTCTGCGGGTCGAAGGTGTCCACTGTCCAGCCTTGTGGGAGTTGCGAAGAGAAACGATTGGGGAGAGTCCCAGGATGGTTGCGGTACCATCCGTCTTTTTCCCGTGATTGGATGTCGACTCCACAGTCTTCACCAATACCGTCGCTCTCCTCTACTCTCACTCCCATTAGCAAGGCGAAAGGACGTAGCGAGCCGCCCCCCTTTTCTCCTTAGTCGGGTGTACATTGTCTGTATGTACAGTACTATATCATACCCAAATAAAGTAAAATACACAGTTACAAATACAGTTCGAGACTGGGCTTGTGGATACCTTTGCCTACGGGGACGGGACAATCCTGGACAGGATCTAGCTCGCTAATAAAATGTAGGGTAGGCAAAGCTCTTTAGCTCGGCGCTCCCCCTGCGCAATCGTCTCTGGCGGCGCACTGCTCAGTCTTGCGGCCAGTAACAAACTGCGCTGGATGCAGCTGCATATGCACGACTTGCTCTGTCTCATTTCCCCTATGAACCGCTCGTTCGTTCCTTTATTAACGCCTGTTTGCCGCTGAATACGCTGCGCTGCCCTGCGCTGGGACTGGTTTCTACCCATACTGTTCTGTTCTTCCTACTGTACTGCACAGCGCTGCACTACGCTGCACTACGCTGCACTGTCCTGTCCTGTCCTGTACCTAGTCTTGTTGGAATTGTCATCCTCTTCCCTCCCTAACGCGCCTCGCAAACGCGGCCAGCTTCCTCTTGCATTCAGCCTTCTCACTCCTCCCTTTCCTGTCCAACGACTTGACTCTCTTTAACGACTGCCGATACACCTTATACGCTTCCTAGGAGACTGTTCCGATGTTGGGACAGATCCCAGAACATACTTAATGGCCTTAATTTCTTCCTAACAACTTGTACCGTACTGTATTCTTCGCGCTCCCCTTTCCACCCCAGCTTCCTCCTACCACGCGCCGTAGGAGTTTTTGCGCTAGCTGTTACGTTCTTTCAACAATCAAAAACCAAGCCCCACGCTATGGATGTATCTCCTCCGTTTTCAGAGCAGGAAAAGGTATGTTGGTAGACCCAGAACTTCGCATAGCGAAATATATATCTAGAGCGCGACTCGCACCACTACCCCTCGATGACTCTGTACCACCACGCGTCTAATACTAACTCTGTTTCCACCTATAGCGCTTTGTTCTTGCAGAAGCAATCAAAAGCAGCGCCATACCAGTAGAGAGGATTCTAGCTCTTCTGGGTGAGTCAAATGTGCAACCGGCATGGCCCCAGATGCTCCTTCCCTATGGTAAGTTCTGCACCTTCAAGCGCATTGTTTCGGCTCCAAGTTCCGCCAGATCTCCAACAACCCAGACATCGGTCTTGCATATATCGCACGTCTTATGATTTGCTAACTTTACTGCAGGTCGCAATATGCAATCATGTATCGATACCTTCGAAATGCTCCGATCTGGCCAACATTCCCAATTTTCGGCCCTTCCTCTCCCTAATCCCTCTCACAAGCGCAAATCAGCTCCTGAACATCTCGAGCCACTTATGACGAACCCGCAACTAAAGCGACGCCAGTCGGGCGTGGAAACTCTAACATCCGCGCGAGATATTCGACCTAAGCCAACCTCCTCGAATGGTTCGCCGCATCCGTTTTCCTCATTTTCGGGTCAATCAGCAGCTCCGACCAAGAAAAGGGGGCGGCCGTCCAAAGCAGACGTTGAGGAAAGGCAGCGAGAGGCAATATTAAGAGGAGAAGTTCTACCGCCTTCAAAGACCATGGCATCAAAGGGAGGGAAACAAGCAGTTACAGGAGAGCCTAGTAGCGCAGGATACGCGGCTATTGCGCCTATGGGCTCTGTGCCTGAAATGAGTGGTGGAATACAATATCAAAGTGGACCAATAGAAGCTGCTCCTGTCTCTGCCCCTACTCCGGCTGCGATGATTCCTACGGGGGACTCACCAGGGAAGAAAAAAAGGGCGAGAGCAGCTCCTAGGCAACCTAAGGTAGGGATCCTTCAAGGACGGGAAAGAAAGACGACTAATAGTGTCAAGGCTCCTAAACCTGGTGAAGGCAGTTTTTCTATTACAACTCCACAACCCGTGCAGCCACAACCATTGGAGGCGCCACAAGTTTCTACGCCAATTACTCCTAGTCAACCTTTCCACCAACATAGACCAGAGGGACCAGTAACTCAAGTATCACAACTTATAGAGAGCGAAGAGCCAAGACAATATCCTCCTCCAGAACCACAAATTCGCCCTGATCCACCGCCTGTCCCACTACCTAGGCCTGGGCCACCTCCAGCTAGTTAAAACTACATTTGCATTTTCTTTTTCTTCTCACGAACTCAACGAATTCGTCTACATTTACGGCTCCAAATAAACCCTTCTCATGGGACTTTTCTTTCGCCATTCATCCATCTGTCGATTCACAGGACGCATCTTACTAGAGGTAACGCCTTTAACGATCACATTTTATACGCATTCAACGATACAATGTTCTAATGTTCTAATACCCGATTCCTATTTTTCAAATTCAAACATCCTTATTACGAATACGGCCAGGATCAAAATGGATTCCAGATGCTAATTGCATGGGCTAATGTCAACAAAATACCGCTTACCAGGCACTTTTCTTCCCATTGGGATACAAAGTTTTTTCTATCTATGCTTCTGCTAACGATTCATGGGACATTCATCTGGGTGGCTAGCGTTGTATTTTTACTTATGCATGCGTTATGTTTACGATTTGAGATCACGCAAACTGTACAATCCTTTACATTTCCTTCATCTATACCATCCGAAACTTCATGTCAGTGGGCGCTCATAGCAGCGAGGAGAAGCAAAATTGGGGCGAACTATGTACGAATAGATATACTGGAATAACAACAGCATAACAAGTAAAAAAGTAAAAGCTTTATGTAATAATCACACGGGGTTTAGCGCCTCGATCCCTTTCTAGATCAGAGGTCAGGTGCAGAGCAGATCTACCCCGCCTCTTCGAAACTGCATGCACGTAAGGGATCTTCCAGGGTGCTTCTTTTAGAACAAGCCTTCCTCCTTCTGGACCTTGTGTCACAATGCAGATCCATCCCGATGTCCTTGTGAAACTCACGTGTGGGGGGGAAATAAAAGTTTTGTTTGTTTTAGCACGTGATATGCCCCGCCCCCTTTTTCACATTTCCATCTTAACTTCAAGTCCTACATTCTTCAGCTCAATCTAAATTCTGCCTTTAAATAGGTACCGCTCACTTGACCTGGCCCCGATTATTTTATCCGTACAGTAGTATTTCCTTCGGATAGCTAATTTTGCACGTGAT